AAGACACGAAAACCCAGTTTAAGCCCAGAATCGCTCATTTTTAATCAACTGCTCGGTGTGTGCATTCAAGGATTTTGGCTGTCAGTGTAAATGTGGAGTCATGAATACACCATGGGATGCTTTGTGTACATGCACGGTGCAGATTGAAAAGATTGCACGGACGCTGGCGAATGACAAATTACATTAGGAGAGAATCTCCATTACTAGGATTTCGAGGAACTGATTTAGGTGTAGCAATTTTCACAAATTTCCCACCGATAGTTCGCGAATAGTCCTTGCACGGAATATCTGGGGGATGAAATCATAAGTAAGGTACAGCATTGCTAATAACAGAGGGATTTTCTTGGTTGATTCAGGGAGGGTTGAAAATTTCTCGGAACTCCCCTAGTCGGCCATATAATGCCAAACGCAATCTCATTATCTCATTTAATCTCGATGGTGATCAGCAATTTGGAGTCGAGACAGGCGATAAAGAAATTAAGAAGAAAATAAAGCCATTATCACGCTTTGTGTGAAAATTAACGCACGAATTGTTATGAAATAATTCAAATTATTATTACTTTCATCGCAGATTAAACTTACTTCAGCAATACTTGCAAAACAATTTTGTCGAGCACAAATACTCCAAGCGACGTATTTGCAATTCGTGGAAAAACCATTATTCCGTAAGAAGCTGTTTGGGTTGCTGAGAAGATTGAGTGGACGTTATGAGGTCCAGTTTCGTGGCGACGACCAATATTCGGAGATGATTGGTTCTTCGTGAGCTCCGAGGAAATCCTCTTCATTTCGCTTACCTGGGAATTGTCCTGTCTTGGCATCGTCACGCATTTTGGTGGTGCACACAAACACAAGGCAGCAATTCGTCAGTCCATGAACGTAATTATTCATCCATGACGTGGTGCGCCCCGGGGATTTTTTCCAGGTCGCCTTCCCGGGACCTCTTTCTCCGTCACTCCTCGGGCCAAATTGGCTGTCACTAAATCGCATGTGTCATCCTGCGAGAAAGGAAATTAATAAAGATTTAGAATGCATTATCTTCGGACCAGTTTTGCTGTGTTTTCTCAGCAGAAAACAAGAGATTTTCCGGGGACGTCCCAAACGATGTGGATGAGATAAATAGTTTTCGCATAACATTACCCTCTCGGTCGCTATTCTACGGGTGTTTGCTGTATAGACCAGTTTTCTCAGAAGATCTCACTGTCCTTCTGCGGGACGCCATGGAGGTCCTATTCGGCTGAAGATCGTATTCCCGGCAGAAGATTTTGTGAGAATGTGTTTCACATGCAACTTTCTCTCTCCTAGGCGGAGTGGATATGAGAAAAACAGTGAATTAGTGCCCCGTCACTGTTTACTGATGCTATCCATGAATAGATTTAACCATGCTCTGCCACTGCGGCTGGTCCGTGGCTGATGAGAGGTCGCAATCTGCCCTCGGGTGCACAATATGTGTATTTATGCATGCTAAACCGGGGAACTCATTTCGCACCCATAAAGCCACTCAACAAACTCCCAGCGCCCAGAGATGAGAGATTCAGCTGAAGATTGGATAGGTCATGGTGAGGCAAATGTAACGGAAAATTAAGTGCAAATGACTGCTAAATAGACTTTATTCTATTAAATACCCACTCAATGTTGCCATCCACAATATTTATTTCATATACCACTGCAATCCACCCAAAATTGCACGAATATTATTTCAATATCCTAGAAATTGTCGGGATTGTTACTGTTTTGCTTTCATCAGAATCAATTTTATCTCTAATTTCAACTTGATTTCCAATTGTTTTCTCATGTGATTTGCAATATTCTCTTGCTCACCTAAAAAACTTTCAAATACATCATTTGAAATCGTCAGAAATGCAAGTTTTTCCAGAATTCTCTTATTCATTTTCCAGGACAGTCTAAGAAAATTATATTAAAGTTGTTAGAATGCAAGAAAATCTCTGCTTAAGTGCCGAAGAAACATCGATTCTACGAGTATATTATGATGAAAAGGAGGCACGAAGAAGTGGTGAAGAAAAGTAAAAGAAACACTGCTGAAAATGTGCGGCAATGATGTTTGTGTATTGGATCCGGTGAGGTGATGCCGCAAAATACCACTCATGCCTCTTCAGCGGAGGGTGAAATGCAGAGTGAGAGTTGAAAGTGAACGAAGATGTAACTAACGAGTTAGACAAGGGTTTGACAAGAGCGCGTTTGTGGGCTTCGCTTTTTTTCCTCTCACTCTGTATGCCGAAGAATTTTCCCCACAGAAGATAATCTCTTTTCACTGTTGAACGCGCTAAATGCGTCGAGTGAATCAATTGGTGAAAATTATCACATTGAATGGCTTCATCAATCCACTTCCTGGGCTCGTCGGGTCGCGCTTTGGCTCATTTTTCACCGTCATCCGGTCCTGCGAGAGCAGCGGATGGCGATATAGAGTAGCGGATTCGATCAATTTACCGTGTGTGTGAACCCTCATCGGCGGGAAAAAAAAACTCCTCTGTGTGTAGCTCAGGAGATGGAGGACGCTAATGCGGCGAGCGAGTGCAACGGGATAAATTCCCACGATCGCGAAACACGCCGCTGTCGTGAGATTCGCATATATCGGGGATTCTCTTCGTTCCACATAACCCAATAAACATGGGGTGAAAAACTCAATGTACGGAAATAGATATTGACACGCATTCGCTTTCACTCCTCTACCTAATATCGCCGCTGCACGCAAATGAAGCAACAGAAATTTCACGATATCTCACAAGAATCTTTTTTAAATGTCATCATCGTCCATGGCGAGGCTTCATAAATTCTGTGAAATGTAGAATGGCCAATTTTATGTGTTGTTCACGAAAGGGGGAGTCGCAGTATTATGCTCTTATTGAAAACACGCGTTATGTTGTTCTAATTTTGTGAAATAATACTTCTGGATTGCACGTTTATGTAGGCTTTGACTATCTACAAATCCATATAGATCAAACACATATGGTTAGCGCGACTTGCTTGGCAGAAAAGTGCTCGGACCAGGGATGAAATTAACCACACGATCTGTGACAAAATGTTTAATAAAGTTACCAAGGCGAAAAATTAACTTATTCCTTCGGCCCCAAATTTAATACACAAAACAGACAAAAGCTTTACACAATTAATTCCGGTTAACTGGCAGCCAAACAGTGGCGCTTGCAGATATGCGGTGTGGGATCTCGTGTACGCGCGCCATTTACCGCCCCGGCCCCACACCCCAGCCGTCCACCCCAGCGCTTTTCCGCCGACACGGTCTCTCCCACACCCCCAAAAGCACATCACGCGCTTTCGGGGCGCCAAAAGCTCGGCTGCCACATGGTGGCGTCGTGGGAAGCTCGGCAGCCGCCGAATTGGCTCCCCTCCGAGCGGACGTGTGTTGGTGCGGCATGGAGCTTTTCTGCCAGCACTCATGCGTGGTGTGCTATGTAAAAGAGCAGTGTAACCCTCGTGGTGTAAGTTGACTGTGTACCGCCGCTTGTATTCCTTTTATACATATTTACAATGGAGGGAGAGAGAGAGATTTGTTGTTTATTTTTATGCAAATGAAATAGAGACACCAGTTGATTCTGCCTCGGATGATGTGTGGCAGTGCTATATTCATTTTGACGACTTAGCACGTGTGCTATGTTGTACATCACACCCATGCACACGGCCCCGAAACTGTGCTACACTGCATGAATGTGGAGCAGTATTTCATTCACGAAAATGGGAATAACTTGTACAAATCCCATCGACTTGCCAGCCGATGTTATGTGTCCCCCACAAAGTCGGGGATGAGTGGCCCCGAACATTACAATAGACACCGACAAGAGGAAAGTCACAAAGAATCTCCCAAGAAGGACTTTCTACATTCACTCCATTGCCTCAACTTCTCCGTGGAATGAGTCCATTTCCGAAACTATACACTAAGGAGGGTAGATTTAGAAGAATAACAAGGGTGAAATTGAGATTGATTTGCATCTATGTATGTATATAAAATTGACATCTTTATTATGTCGTTATTTTGTGCTTTTAATGATGATGTTAATCACTTTGCAAACCATGCAATTTGCTGTTTATGTGATTATCAAGAATTCTTTAAAAGCAATGGAAAATGCTTAGAAGTCTCATGCAACTCTATCGATCGCCACGAATGTGTTAAACTATATATGATAAAAGAAAAATTTACTCACGCTTTAAAGTCTATTGAGCCACTCTTGTTTACTATCCACGAAGAAGTTCATTGTATCTCACAAGACTGATCCAATTTGCTGAATAGAAGCATTTTAAGTGGCATATGGTAATTTTTATCAATAGCGTATCAATTTCATCACAAAGCCATCACTTTCCTTAGCATCCCCTATCCAATTTTTCCTGGTTAAAGATGCTTCCACGGGAATAGAGAGGGTTTCACTGCGGAATGAGAGATGAAGTCAGCGGTGTTATCGTGAAAAGAAAACATCTCACCGTGATATTTTGCACTCAGCCAAGGTGAAAGTTAACAGTTTCGTTGAACACTGCGTGTTGGAAGGATGTATATTTGAATCATAATCAAATTTGTACAAAATGTTTAACAATTGCGCCAATAAATTATTAATTTCCAACGGTTTCCGTCATTGTGGCGTGAAGAATAGAGTGCAATATTAGTGGAAAGGGGAGTGATGAGGACGAGAAATGGAATTCATTGGAAGAAAATCACGGCATTCGGTTCAATTTTAATGCTAATCGCAGATCCCGGCGGCTTAAGTTTCCTCCGCCTTAATGGCAATTCGCTCCCGGGAGAAATTCACATTTTCAAGCATTCGAGTCTCCCTCTCCGGGACTCCTTGCTGTCCGCCTCGTCCGGAAGTGGTGTGACTGGTGCAGTCAACTGTGAACGAATGGTAGAGATCGTATGATTCTAATTCAGGCATCTAATTGAATAGAGATTGAAGAGTTATCCGAGATAGGAATTACATGATGTGCCCGCGGGAGCACATTATTCATTAAATATCAATTGTCCGATGTTGTCTCTTCAGCCTGAGCGTCTCATCTCACCGGATACCCTGTTGAGACGTCGTCAGGGGAATTCCTTTGAGATGGCCACTCTGCTGTGCAGCCTTCTCCTCGGCTCTGGATTTGGGTCATTCGTGGTTTCGGGCTACGCTTCTCGGGAGGTGACTACTAATGACCAGACCCGAGTCTCCTGTCCATGGTGAGTACGCTCGACTATCAACAGCAATCGCATTGAAATTGAATTTGTTGTTCTGGAATCCGTCACAGAATTATGCGCTACGCTGTAATAGCATGTGCAGGACATCAATACTCATATATTGTATTGTATAGCCGCTTGACCAATCTCGTTTGCCCATACAGAAATAGCTGCAATACCTGCATTATCTATACAAATAGTATGTTTTCTTAGAGACAATTTATAAGAGGGATGAGAGGTGTTAGTGTTTCAATTATTTCAATTTTCAAACTCTTCAATAATTGCATTTTGGACGTATTTCTGCAGTGCAATTCCAGATGATAATCCCGACTGCTCAGCCAATAACACCGATCCTAAGAAGAAGTACAGCCTCAGACCGCCTGTGGATCTTCGGAGTCAGTTTCTCGTGCACATGGACGAGATGGAGGCCAACAGGAAGAGATCTGAGGAGGAGAAGCGTCGCGAGGAGGAGCGGCGTCGCGTCGCGGAATTGGAGCAGCTGCCCGAGGACGAGTTTGCCGGGAGGCGTGTGCACGCATGGGTGGCGATTCGCGAGCGTGACAGTGGCCAAATGTTCTTCGTGGAGCCTTCCACGGGTATCCAAGTGACTGAGGTGGTGGCGAGCTATTTCGGGATCGAGTCAGTGTGGAATCAACACAATTACTATGTCAATCGCCAACGGCGGGAGGCAATTGCAGACGAAACAATGAGATGGGATTTGGTTGATAGAAATGACTGGGAGCACTTTTTGATGGATGGCCACGATGAGGACCATTTGCGGGCGGCCGGAGGTTCGGGTGGCGGCATCGTAATGGCTGAGAGGAACTTGGACATGCCAATATCGTGGGTGAATCAATTGAAAATTGAGTTAGGGGCCTTTGAGCGGCGCTTCCCGGCAGCTGAGAAGAGTATTAAGTACAAAAGGGTCATTTACGAGAGATTTTCGCCATACAGGCAAGAGAGTGGACTCGTGAAGAGACTCACGACGTACGAAACGCTCGAGTATGAGCACGAGAAGGAGCAATGGCAGTGGTTTTCCAACAGGAAGGACTTTCTCGAAATGATTAAGATTCTCCGTGGAGATAATTCGTCAAAGGAGTACTTTATTAGAGGTCGACCAGACTACCTCAAGTTCATCGCGAAGCCATTAGATGAAAAGTCCACTCAACGAATCTACGAATTCTACCACGCATTTCGAATGGACTCTCTCAGCCGCCTGGAAATGGATTCCACTCACATCAGAGAATATTACACGGATCGTGATGATTTTCTTCAATTTCGCGAATTTACAGTCGCCCCAAATTGCAATTTCAAACAAATTGAAGCATCTCAGATTAAGGTATGCAGCGCCATCTAGATGGCAGTAATATAAATTCGATAGTGATGACATGAACCTAGAGTTCGAAAATCTCATGTGCACAAACTGTTCCCAGAGCATTGAGGAGAGATTCAGACGAAACGACAAGAAGGCAGCTCTGGATGATGTGGCCACGAGAAAATTTCTTATCTCAGAAAATCGCATCACTCTTCGCTTTCACTATGAGAAAAACAGCATCACGGCCTCGACGAGGGAGTTCCTGAAGCCTGTGAAGCCCAACTATCAGGAAGAAGTGACTTTTGATGTGAACAGCACGAAAGGATATCAAGTAGGTCAATATTTAATTATTTATAATACTATAAAAAGTATTTTACAGATTCAGCTGAAATAAATATTAAATCGACGAATAATCTATTTATGATGCTTTATTGGATTTGAACCTACATTCCTCGGAATGATGCTTATTTCCGGCATTTGTGTATCGATTTCGAGCATGCTTGACTTAAATGCTAAACAGATGGGAAACTGACTCAATCTATAATGCATAGAGAGACTTGCATTCAGACCTCTCAAATATCCTGATGTGATCTTTCAGTCAAACATCACGAGTCCCGCGCCAACTGCAGTGGAGCTCTATCTTATGCTGCTGGAGCAACTTGAGGCGGAGGAGGGGGCCATCAAATCCTTCCTATCGCGATGCGGTGAATTGAGGACTCTGGAGGAGCTCCGTCGACGGGAGATGCTGAAGCCGTCTCTGAAAATCAGCATCTTTGATCCGCTGAGGAACGACGAGGCTAGACGTCTGAGAATCGAGAGGGTGAGCTGCATCATGTGCCAAAAATCACAATTTTTCCTTTCACTCATGGTGAAAATCGACTTTTGCTCTCATGGCCCGAATTCACGTCATGCCACGCAGTATGAGATGATGAGGCGGAGAGAGGAAATGGCACAGAAGGACTGTCCCGATTTCTTGGCACCTTACCTCGTGGGTATTCAATCGACTGAGGCGAACGCCGAGCCACCGTCTTATGACACTTCCTTATCGGCCTTCAACTCATGTCTCTCCGATAAGAGACAGCACTTCGAGGAACTGCTGCAAGAGTTGCAGCGTCAGTATCAAGAGGTAAGAAGAACAATTTACTGACGACGATTCGCATTCCTTATGAGTGATTGACAAACAAGTGGAGAGTCACTCCAAAGTTGAGACCATTAACTTTATGAGGATTCAATCATTTTTTTTTTAAATTAAATTTCTGATTGAGACCACTAAGTTTCCTCAAAAATCGCCTTGTGACAAACTATGACGAGTTGTGGTTTGGAAATATTCCAGTTGGACAACGAAACAAAGTCTCTGCGGAGTTTCGTACTGCGTTTTCAGGATCGCTTCGATGATTCTGATTTTGAGAACATCGTCAAGGAGGGTGAAAGTATTAAGCGGCACAGAAATGTGATTCAGAACCGAATGACATGCCTGCGGCAGGAGTCCCAGGAGAAGTACCAAAAAGTCAAAAATGCTCTTCTACGCGATAAACGACTGAGTGCGGATTTTCGGATGGAGCTCTTGAAAAATCAAAAGAAGCAAGAGTGATTTTTATGGAAAATTTATTTTGTCTTTTTAAAATATCTTGATTTCTCAATTACATAATATTGTATATGCATTAGTTTTTCTTCTCCTTCATTATGTATAAGTTTTTTTTTATCCATAAGTGTATTAATCATCGGAAATGATACAATGCAGTAATTTATATATCATTACTTTACTTTTTGTGTTTCTTGAATTTATTCTTACCACTTTCTTGTTCAATACATCAAAATTACCCATGTTTTACGAATTTTGTAGTTCACCTATAATATTACTTGCTAAACTCATTTCACTTTTTTTTTAGTAAATAATTTTCACTATGGTTGTTGAAATGCAAAAAGTGTGATTGTGTTGAGAGTGTGATTTGGTGTCACTGGAAATGGGGTTGATTGAGCTACACGTTCGACATGTTGCTGCAATTGTTGGGTTTTTCTATCTGAATTCTTCTCACAGAAATGCTTGCTTGATAAAATGGTGAACACTCTTTTTTTTCTTTTAGTAATACGCCCCCACTCAATAATTTAAAGATAAGTTTAGAAGACATTGATTATTATCTTGATGCTCGTTTTCGTTTCATGAAATCCTTCATTTCAAGCATATTTCTGCTTTTGTAGTCGAAAATAATTATCATAATTCAATACCCTCTTCTAAGTATACAAATCTTGTTGCTTATTTCATCTTTGCGTTTAATTACAAATTTTTAATTATATCAACAACATTCAATTTGTTTTTGCCAAAAATTATTACATAACAAATTCTGATAATCAATAATTAAAACCATTTGCAAAAGAATGAAATTTAAATTGGTTCTTGCATTTTTTTTTTTATAAATTACGTTTATGGAATTACAAATTTTTCAATTTATATAACAATATACATTACCAATAATTCCTGACCTAATTTAAGTAGGGTTAAATGGGTTTTGGGCAATGAAATTTGATTTCTCCGCTGTACTATATTTTAAATTGTTTCACAAATCAAGTAAAAGTTCAATTAAATATCCGGTAAATCGGTATTGCATGTTAATCAAATATTCACCATGTATATCTCTTGAAATTGCATTTTATACATTACTTGATATATGTTTAATATCCTTATTACACAGTTGTTTTCTTTTCATACATGAAACTATAATTTTTATTTATCCTTCAATTTTTTTTTGGTTAGAGACTCATGATCAAATGGTATAAAAGTGTATTTATTCTCATATCTATTTTTTTTTTGTATTCAGGGATTTTATGTGATTCTTAGGGATTTGACTTTTTACACACTTTCAGTTATTTTCTTTTCTCCAAAAATTATTTACTTCACGATTCATTAAATATATTTATTAATGTACGTCTTCACACGTTTTATTAATCAATTACAATTTTATTATCAAGTCGACTAAAACAAAACATTTGATAATTTATTGTATATTTAAGGTTGATTATAGATTATTTACAAATTTTTGTAAGTTTATGTAATAACTCCCATTTTTCTCATGTATTTCCGCTCATCCAATAGGTAATGAATAATAATTTAGTTTGAAGGGTCGCATCGTGTCTTTAATTCCACTCCTAATAAATTTCACATTCGAAATCTCTTTTAAACCTATCAATGTGTCTGTCTTTAATTGTGTCCTTCATTCCTTTTTCAAGTATATATTTTCCTCTCCATCTTTATGTAATTTATTTAGTAATTAGTAAAGATTTCTTCATATATATATACTTTGGAATATCATGTAATCCATGTTAAATGTTAGTAGCTTATAGATAGGGATCCCATTTGTCCAATGCAGCGCCCTTCGTCGTCAAAAGTGGCGAGCGTTAATCGAGATAATTTGTTGCTAAGTACTCCATTGCCGCTATTCTGAATTGGATTTGGTTCTGTAGGAGGCAAGAAAAAGAAATGGTATAAATTAAATGGAGAATGGCTATGATTTGTGAGTTTCTAATGAAATAAAGCTCAAATGCTTGCACACAAAGTCCTTCAATTGAGGTACTTAGCATTATAACAATACATATAGGGTATTTCTGCTACACTTCTCTCCCTCTCACTCACTTGTAAGTTTGTGAAAAACAACATCAAATAGCTTCGAAAGTTCTATACAAATTGCCACAAGCGGAAAATTTCATGTAATTGTAAAGTACTTACCATCGTGAACACCATTATCGGGTGGTTGTCCATCACCACCATCTCTTCGGCGTCTCATTTGTTCAGCAAAATGAGCAATTAAGGCATCCATCATACCGGCTTGTTTCGAGAAAATTTGCATCAGCTTTGTCACAGGAATACCATTTTCCACAGCTTCAAACTGGTGACAAAAAAGTGAGAGAGTGAAAACAATGAGGTATTATGGTTTATTGAATTAGAAATTTGCCGTTGCTGGAGAGGAAGTATATGTGTTACAAAGAGTAGTGAGAAGCAATGGAGAGAACACAAAAAGAGAATTAATTCAACGTATAAATTATCCCTCTTATTGCATTCCACCCTCAACTTATGAACACTTTCATCTGGAAAAATGCATCAGTGAACTTTTATTAGCAATTTTCCTCGTATGCACACCACAAGGCAATTATCGCAAATATATCGGGCAGTGAAACAGAACGCTTTGTGTGCTTTCGTGGCGGAAATATAACTTTAGTGAAATGGAATTATTGGCGACACATTGCAGAATTTCTGTCGATTCTGCTCTATAACTTTTAGAGAATCTGAGCACTCTTTAAATATCCAATCTAGTGATGTTCCCTTGTCACGTGTGCTTGGCGAACAAACATGATCAGCCGTTCCAGGTGCCATGGAGTGAACGAGGTCAAATATTGTGTTTCAAATATTTGAATGTTGCTCAATTCTTCTACTATTTTGTGAAATGCACACTTTTTCAGAGCATCGGGAACAGCGTGTCCTGTTGGAACTCAATCCCACAGAAAAACGAACCACGGAGACTATGATAACTCACTGAGCAAATAAGGCGAAAAGGGTTATAATAGAGTAGGTACCTGAATAAAAATGCAAGGCATGCACTCTGGATCATCAGCAGAACTCGGCTTCGCAAAGTCCCATGACAATTCTTCGTATCTCAGTCCCAGTATCAAAGTCTATATGGGAGAAAAAGGATAAAAGTGGTGAGTAAATTAAATTTCTTACAGAAGTAATCAATTCAGTGAAACTCACGCTTTCAACGTGATCGATGACAAAAACACCTTTCTCGTTAATTGCTATCAATACGGAGATATCTTTGTGATGAACTAAACTCATAAGACCTCGAACTGGTTGTTCCACTTGGCCGTGGAAAAAGGCAGCACTGCAAGAGAGAGAAAAAAGCACTTCAATAGTGACAAATGAAGCGGAAGAAATAACCCAATAAGAATTAGAAATTTTATGAGCGGAAAATCAATTCCATGTGAATTTCCCACTCATTTATTCCTCCACATTATACAGAATATCTCTATTTTGCAGAGACTGCGGGTGAAAAATATTTTGACATACCCATAGAATGGAAGTGCCCAGCAGAACTCTAGATACTTCCTCATTAATTTTCTAGTTGTGGCGGTTGTTGGTACACGTTTAAATTGCTCCAAAAGTCTAACTTCGGCGGATGTTTTTCTACTGACCGGAAGCCACGACCAACTCGAACTCTTTGCAACGTGTGGTGGCAGAAAGCGTGATTGATTTTCTCTGTAAAATTGAGAGGAAACTTTAGTGAAACAGTCTGGGAATGCGTTACTGGAAATATATGTAGTTAAAGTCTTGGTGGAAGGCGAGGTAATTGAAATATTTTTCAAAGGATTGAAGTGGAAGAGGAGAAATCTTTGAAAGGAAACACTGCATTTGGAAATAATAACGGGATGTTTTTTCTATGATAGAAGAATTTTGTCATTCTTCTTCTGTACAGAAATTGTTCAATTCTGCAAATTTCAAAAAGTTACATTTTAAAAAATGTGAGTAATTTGCTGATACTTGGGAAAATTGTGAGTGGAATTGCATGTTTCTATTTTCAAGGGCGCGCTTTGAATCCAATAATGTATCCTCTTTGATCCACTCTAGGGATAATTGGGATTTTCTGTCACTCTTCTCATCAGGCAAAAGTGGAAAGGTGTTTTTTCAGATGAGTGTTCCCATGTGAAAACTGTGTCAATCGTATTCAATTCCGCCACCCACAATTCCTCATGTGCCAATACGCTGAAGGGTGGCATTTTTGCTATTGTGTCCCTCCTCGCTCCTCCGTCGCTTTGGCACCGACTCACAGGATTTCAATGATGATGGAAATATTTGTCATCGTCTCACCTGAATGTATACGAAGTATGCCGGTGAGATTTTAACAGTGGCAGTATGATGCGCTCATCTATCATAATTCGAAGTGAGCGGATGTGGTGTAATTGGGTGTGGGGGCAGAGCTTGCATTCGGGGTGGGACTGTCATCTATCTAGCCTGGCGCTGCACACGAGCAGCTTATCATTCTTCTCTCATTTGGTACCTGTCACACATTCTCGTCGCCTAAGCCACGTGAGACAAACTTGGAATATGTGTCACCATGAACTTTTGATGAAGATCTCACTCATATATTGTACGTAACTTCATCAGAGAATCATGTACGCGTGCAGACATTGGGTGAATATTGGGGTAATTGAGTGAAATGGGAGAAGGCCAAAAAATTGTAAACAGCTTTTAGCCTCTCAGATGAGCGTCTACTCCGCCAATTTAGGGTGAAAAAGTTTTAAGTGGTGGATGCCAAAATTTAATATACATTTCGTATACGATATTGTGCACGCAGGGCGAAGTTACCTTTAAAGTGATTCCAAAGTTTCACTCCAGCGTGTACAACTCAATTCTTCCTGGGAGTCGTCTTTGTGACGTGAGAAATTGCATTTCTTTCCTCCCAGTGTGTTTCCCTTATTCATTTCTACCCACCTTTCTGCATACTTTTCTTTCTCACATCTGTTCAAAAGTAAACTTTTACGGTGAAAATGCGCCCAAAGCTTCTTTCTCACCCAAACCAAAATCAGAAAGCTTTCTACCGTGCGACTTTTATTTATTGGTCTTTCGCCTCAATTGATGCAAAGGGATTTCAAACAAGCATCTCTTGCTTCCTCAGGTAATTGTCAGCTGAGTTAATCTCCTCACTCAGGATAACTCATGACAGATTTGCAAATACATATGCCAGAAAACTTGACTGCATTTCCCCATAACTTTTGTGAACGTGCATAATTCTGCTTTTGATTAATGTCAACCGACTTTCTTTCCTATGCATTCCACAGTTGACTTCCTTAAGGCTCACATGTGCGGCAAGACTTTCACGTCAAGCACATACGTCAACAATCGTGGATGCAGTTCTCTATATCCTATCATCCTCTGCAATCATGGCATCCAAGTGGTGGAAAGAATGTTTGCGAAAGTTTAACTTTCGGTAAACATTATTCTCTGAATAGAAAGCTTTGGGTCATTGCACACACATGCTTCTCCTGCTAAAGTTGATGCCCTCTGACCAGGAGTTATCTCAATCTATCTCTATGGAATTCCTAGAATGGTATCCGATACTCTCTTTTGTCTAGCTTTGCGGTTGTCATGAAATGGTATTCCAGATATTACATATATATCACACTGTACGCAATATACAATCAAATATTTCAATTTCGTGAGAGTTTCATCGTAGCAATGCACCATGAATGCTTCCATTCCAATTCCGTGCACGTGACATTTCTATTTCCCACCGAATTCCGCTTGTTATCACAGCTGATTCTGAGAATTCAGATAGCGAAGAAATTTCTAATATAATATTTTTCAATTTTGCGTCAAAGAGCAACAAGTTGCAATTTCTAAACACCACACTAATATGACTCATCAAGAAACATTTAAGATCTTGCGACCCACGCCACAAAGTTCAAATAAGTATCTCACTCAATTGTTCAGCAATAGCGAACCGGAAACTTCTCCGACAAATCATTGACATTAAAAGTTTATTAAAGTTCCTTAAACACATAAAGGTCTAAGTTTGACGCGAGGAAATTGGCGGTTTTGCTACGTAAGTGTTTTCAAAACTATTCTCAACGATGTATAAGGAGAAAATTTAAGAAACCATATATCGTCGATTTGATGATTCCTTTCAAAAAGACGACGTCGTCACGCCGCTCAAGTTTTATAGCTAATCATTTGCGATTATTAATTTTTAATATCCACTCTTTTATTAGACCTCCGTGCACTTCAACCTATCTTCCCTTTATGGGACTTTGAAAGCTTTTGCAGTAAAATAGATGGATTGGCACTATATAACTTTTGAAAGTTCACCAACAAATGGGAGATGGAGGACAAGGGAAAGGACGAAAATATGAATTTCTATGCGAGTAAAAATTTCTCGCAGGGAAATATGTATTAGTGAAATGCGGCTTGGGAGAAAGTAGATTATATATTTACCGATGTGAGTTAAAGCGAATTGCAATGTGTAAAACATGGATTTATTATACGAGTCTGTGGAAAACAAGAGGATTAAGTATGACGCTTTTCGTGCTTTTGGACAATGCGTACGAAATTCGCCGCAATCCTCGACTTTTCGTGGGGCATCAAACTAATCTGGAGACAAGGAGGGACGGCACGTGGGTCAAGGTGAGATAGATCAAGAACTTGCCTAAAATATCCGATTGTGTGAGTGTGAGAATTGTAGGGACCCAGTTCCACTCGTGCCTGGATCCCGCCCAGCATGATGGAGTGAGCCGGCTCCATAATGTAGCGCCCCATCAGCACGTTGTGTCTCGCCTCCTCGTACAGCAGCTCGAGAATCCTGGGATCTCTGCGATGATAAATAAATCGACCAAGTGAATATTTATCTGGCGTGTCATTTGCTACGGATGTGTTTTATTTATCCGAATGCGTGCAATTTTTCAGGCGCTCTTCTATTTATCAACAACCATCACTCGCCCGAAGCTTCTCCACGTAGAATGATTATATTTTGTCTCTCCACTTTTATTCTAGTTCAAGCAACTGGAAAGCTCTCACACAATTCTGCGTTACACAGAGAGATTCAATTAAGCTGCTGTACTGCAGATTTATGATTTCTTGCTCTGTCTTTTACGTAACATACAACTAAAGTATTCTGATTTCTAATCTCGCCCTGGCTCTTAGTTTTAAATACTATACATGAGACGTACTGCAGTTCAATTGGGTCTCCGTCTGCATTCAAAGCGAGCACTTACTTAATTTTCTCCTCGTCCTTTTTCGAGAAAAACACATTCCTCCTCAGGGTGATCATTGGCTCATCGTATTTGCGTTCAATTTCATTCCCATGACTATGTCTTTCCAGCAACTTGGACCACGCTACCCTCACGGCATACGGACGATGATGGGGTTTCAATTGGATTTCTGCGATTAAAGAGAAAAAGGTTACATATGGAATTAACATTTTACTCTTGGACGCTGCAAATTCTCCATTCGCAAGCAGCGAGAGAGCTCGAGTGAGATGAATTGGGGCCCGAAATTGATGGCAAGTACCTAGAAGTGAGCTCGTCATCCATAGTCCGAAAATGCTCTGCGCCAGCAATTTGTTGGCAATGCCCAACTCTTCACAGCCAAGCGCCGCTGCCAGCATCACTTGCGATGGACACTGAGCCGTTCCCTCAATCTCCATGTGGACAGCAATGCGGGACATCAAATATACACAGGTCGGTATAACCTGCCAATCAATGTAAATGATACAAATTAATTAATATTCATAGCTTCGGTCGGCATTTGTTTATTATCTGCCCACCCACACTGTTCCGTGTTTAATTAAATGTCCAATTGCGCCTGGATATTGGATTAAATGTTGTCGAATTGACGCGAGTAGTGGAGTGACTCAAAAAACTTAATTTCTCGCAATTAAACAAACAGCGCGAATTCATTTTGAGTGAGTTTGAGTGAGATAAACCGATTATCTCAGGAAGTGCTTCGTGGCGGATAAAAACTCATTTTGCGTATTCATGTTGGCATTACGGAACATAAAACTTTTCAAAATAGAATTGTTCAACCATGTGTGGAACTCGAGTAATCCTTTACTTAAATCATTTCGCGATTGCATTAGCATAGGATAGTTTGTAGCCTTGTTTGTAACACAAATAAGGGGAAATATCGCAGCCAAAAGTTATTCTTTTATGCCATATTAATTGCGAATTTTATTTTAATAGAGAATAGAGAATGTTTTAGAATAAATACGAAGCAAATGAATGTTTGAAATTGCCTCTGTTTCCGAAAATTCAATTAATTTCTTGGCAATACTTCTATTTCTGTGCTAGCATCATAAATTATATAGAGCTTGTTGTTCAAAGAGCAACTTTTTTCAGTTATACTATTATTAATTTCAAAAATAATATCGCAAAATACATAGTTTCCGAGAATTATCCATCCAATTACCAACATTTCTGAACAATTTTGCTTGCATTTAATATCATGAAACCAACACTGACTATATAACGTTCATTTTCAACCAACAATAACTCGAGAGCTACTCAAAATTCCTCTATTGTAATGTGTATTTATGAGGTTGGCAGAATGTATTTAGAAATTTAGTTTCTAGTACTCGAGACGAAGCTGCACCATCACGATGCAATAAGTTATTGCTGTAGACATTTTAGTTGATATTCTGGCCAAAAGTGTGCATAAACTTCTCAAGAGGAATTCTCACAACAATATTTGGCTACAGAGAAACTGCAATTAAGATTACTCTAAACTTTTGTTGGGGTTCCTCGCACAGTCAAAGTAAAGCTTTCCGGTTGGGATTAAACTTACGTGCTGCAGAGGTCTGGGAATTGATGCTGATGACGATACACCTGTTGATGTGTAGTTCATCGATGCTGTGCCTGCACTCCCATAGTTATTCGCTAAACACGCTGATTGTTGCATTTCTGAACTATTATTGGCGGCTTGAGACTGATAATTTGTACTTGTACTTGGCCCTGCAATGAAAAAAAAAAATGCCAAAGGTTAGTCTTATCAGGACGTTGGGGTTATATCTTCAGGCAGGATTCGCGCAATTGCCATTCGTGACATTCCGCTATCGTTACAATATATCGCTGGAGTTTACAGTTCAACTCGGGAAAACTTACAACTCCATGCAATTTCGCCTCATATATTCCTCTTACGGAATGCTAAGGAACGCAGTCACAGCAGGAAGTGAGTGGCCAATTTGCAGATCGAAATTGTCTCATAAATCTACAAAGTTTCCATGTACTCCACGTACAAGAGTGGCGGAATCCATAAATGCGAATTTATTTTACTCTATCTGGAATTTACTCATCTTTGCCAATCTCCTAAAATTCCATTTGCAATTGAGATTCATTTCCCAGTGACTCCCAACAAGCGATTTCGCGTTTATGCTCACTTCACACATGGAATTATGTGTTCACAATAAACGGTAAAGTCGATTGAATTGCAGGTCAATTTAGCATGTTCCGAAATAGGGAATTCCCCTGAACGTGACCCACTTTACTTTCGGGAAAAAATTGTGGGTATTTTCCGGTGGTGTTTTGGACTATTTGTGGTTCTTGGCATGAACAATCAATTTGCTTGGATTTCTTACTCGTTTGCAAATAATTGACAATTTATTCATTATTTATATCGTCGCACGCAAATGGTTTCCCCCCCAAGTCTGAAAATACTGCATAATGGGAAACACGTGTGAGGCCATAATGGTGAATTTGTCGAGACATAAAAAGGATCTTTTAATGAAATGAAGAAAGAAGCAGCGTGATAAATATAGAGCAAATTTTCCACCAGGATTTTCGCTTATTTATCCTGAAAAAGAATTCTGCTCATCGACGTGGAATTTCTCAACTCATTCATGCATAATGTGCTATTGATTTATCACATCATTTCAATTGAATTCTAGCTCATGTGAATTATTTCCTTTTACTTAAAGATTCATTGTCAATGTAAAATTTTGTGCATTTTCCCCTTTAGGAGGATTAAATTTTTTATCCGCTCACTATCACTGCTCCTTTTATAGAACAATTAACCTACTTTTGAGTTTAGATAGTCCATGGCTTTTACATGAACATGAAGTGTCCAAGCATTTCAGTTCGATTTCTAATTCAAATTTAATTTTAGTTTGCAAATTTTCTGCTCAACTTTGCGAAGTGATGAGTCAAATGGGTCAAGCCGATGGTACACGGCATATTTGCACTGTCTGTCAGTTAATTTTAAGGGAGCTTTCAATGGAAAATTCATACATTTATCCATTTGCATTCAATATGCAAATGGATGAAATAATCTGTCAAAATCAATATCAATATAAACAAACTTTGGTTAAACATAGTGAAAAGTTTACGTAGAATATTTCGGTGAATATTGGTCTGAAAGTTGATGTGACGGAAGTGGAAACAATTTAACTTTTGCACAAATTTATACAAAACAGCATCAAAATATTGTTAGCCCCTTCAAACTTTACCCCGAACTTTCATAAAGTCTCAAAAATATTTTGATCGATTTTAGCACGTCAGAGACATTCAATATTAGCTTCTAAATCATCCGAAAATCGCTCGTCGTAAAAACACATGAATATCGAGGCAAGAGAAAACTTTTCAAGCATTCCTACACACTTTTGCCATGGATATTTCCCTTCTGCTTTCCATTGGATGTGACTTACATTTCACCCTGGAGGATATCATGGCCGAGCAAGAGCACAACTTGAGATTTGGTATAATTTTTGATTGTGCGAAAATGATAATAAAATTGCGTGGGAGATAGAGATAAACAATCTTTTATTCTGATCGAAGCAATCAAATTAATATATCAAGGATGTATTGAATTGCAGAGGAAACGCCTCCTTCTCCCCTAAATAAAAATGTATTTACTGTAGCAGTTTCATCTCCATTTTCTGCACTTCCTTCATTTTCCAGAGAGTATATACCATGAAATATTCATAATTCAGTTTGGTATATTGAGTTGTGAATTTCATAGCTAAGAGGAACAATTCCAGTATAAAGAAAGGACGAAGAATTTGAAATCTAGAAAAGCTTTTACTCCTTCTCTCATCATCATTCATTCGACAGTCAAGAAGAATTCAAAGTCACTGTGCTTTGTAAATTCCAACTCAGTGGGTGGTTCACAATGAATTCACTGCCAGAGAGGTTAAATACATGAAGAGAGCACTTCCAGTGCATTGCATTTTACTGTATATCTTGTAGTTTATAGTGAATTGGTTCTCACAAAACACTTCTATTCAAAACAATCATTAAACATATAGTTTTACCATCAATAACTATTTTGCAGGAAGCACACTCAAATACTGTCTGTTTCGATTTATGTTCTCCCCGTGTTTTCATCCTCGCATTAATTTGCTTGCCGACCCCAAAAGTAGATAGTGCAAATTTGCAGAAAAGGAATTCTGTATTTTTTCCTCACGACCTTTTTCCAGATAAAACACACAAAAAGTCACTGAAAATATTCCACCGTTGCCATAAGTTCTTCACGGAGTTGGTGGGGGAGGGAGGGAGGGAGGGATGGGGTGGGGGTAGAGTAAAAAGTTTTATCATGATAAAAGCTCATCTATCTTATAGCGAGCCGTGGGGGTGTTCAAACATTTAGGAATCCTTGTAAAATAATTTATGTGTCAATTTGATATTTATTGCTGAATATGGCGAAAGGAAGTATGTGGGTGGGAGGGATGGAATGCGGTAAAAATCATTGGCTGCTCACTCAACATGCCAATGGTAGTTTTGGGGGGATAGTTGAGAAATTTTTTACTCTATCTCGCAACCCACATGCTTACGCGACGAAAAAATCCACAGTCTGCCACCCACACTCACCATCCTGCACTCTATAAATCTCCACTTCCCTCCATGATCCTTCGGCGTGTATCTTACCATTGAGGCACAATATAACCATTAAAAGGACGTTTCGGGAATGTTGATTTGGTATGTATTTGAATATGCCCAGAATCGGAGCCACAGAAGGGCTGAAGGGCAAAAAAGGCAGAAACCACGGATGGAAATGGCGAAGAAATTGAGCCAATAATGTGGAAAAGAATCTCTTTCTCTGGGGTTTTTAATTTGGATTCCTCTCACACTAGCTAAAGGAATTCCTTGTACTCCAAACATGCCCCATCCATGCTCAATTCACTACTAATTTGAGTTTATTTTCCCCAACACCACGCATCATCTTGTGAGGACGATGGCGTGAGTGAAGAGGTATCCCGACACGACGTAAAAGCTCCTCCTATGTAATTCACATAATATTATGTACCAGTGAATGCGAAAGGTACACAATGTACCAGAGCTTCCGACCACAAAATCACTTTGCGTGAAACTTTCGCCCAAAATAGAAATAAGCATGTAAATGACTTTCATCATCAGCAGGTGCTTATTTAAAAGGATTCCTTCTTTTTTCCCTCAGCACCACCTTCTCATTCGCCGCATATTAGCATCCAATGTCCCTCATGTTGAATACCCAGAACACACTGAACGCCCTGAGAGCATAGCCTCACCCCGGGAGGAAGAAAAGTTATTGCCTTGAGTCAACATAGGGTTAATTTGCATATCTCATTCTGTCTCTGTTCACTCTGTTACTATTTCTGTGCTCAGTGTTTCACAGTTTTTCCCCCACAATCCACTTGTGCCATAAAGCAATATTGGTCGAGCGGAAAGTTCTTGTTTACACTAACAACGAATGTGTGCCTCTTTCGGAAGTGAAATTTCAGAAATAGTATAGACGGTTTAGACAATGTAAACATACCTATTTAGTTTATGCATTTAGAGTGGAAATTTCAAGATAAGTATACATTCAAAATATGCCTAAGTTAAAAATCATAACATAAATTTTTTTTTTTTTTTTTTTATATCTCCACTGTTTATTACTCTGTGATTAACACATCTTAACAATATTTGGCATCGATTTTAAAAATGGCATGTGGATAGGAACCAGTGTTCCTATCCTTTCACAAAAACATAAAATGTTTAACATCTTGGTTTGACAAAGAAACATAAATTTAAAGGATAAAGCTCATTCAAATAATACAGTGGTTAAACTTGGTGATAAGTTAACGTTGAAGTTCACCAGAACATTTCCACGGACCTCTGCCTTATGGATAGCAAACAGTTCGTGCGGGTGTACCTCAATTTTCGCCTCCTCGACTGTTTCCAATATTCAACAACCATGTATGGCCATAGAGAAAACCAAAAAAAAAATCTTCCACAAGGGTCAAGGAAATGGAGAGGAAAATAAGTGAAATTTGTAACACAAACATGTCCCTAGCACGCAGTAAAAATCCCGTTTCCATATTATACTAATGAAAACGAAATGGAACGATACTTTGGCCAACATCCATGTGCAGCCCCCTTATTTGTCCATCAAGCAAAGATGACGAGAATCAGGCGTCACCAATCCAATTTGTAAATGTAGAAATTTCATTTTAGCTAAGAAAACTTGTTCTATTTCATCCCAATACACAATGTTCGACTTGGCTCTGCCCCATTTGCTCACTTCACCAAAGAATTTTTTCGCATTATATTTATACAGAACTGGTAAGATGTATGTAATGGGAATCAATTTTTACTGCTCAACTTTGTTTCGCTTTCCACTCCTTTTTCCTAGTATCGGGCACTCATGCTATCGATACATCACAGTGCGAGTGTGGTGCGAAAGAAAGGGAGGAAGAAAGTGTGGCAAGAATGAGAAAGAATAATAAACGAAAAGCTCTTGGAAGAGAGATATGTATATAGTACAAATGTTTGATTCTGGAATAAGCAGAAAATAACTGTTTACCCAATCGTTGTGTCATCAAGAGAAAAGCTCAAGTGAAAATAGAAAATGAAAGAAGTTGAATCGGAAAAATTTCCTGATTCTATAAAGTTCACATAATGGCATTTCAGCACTGCTGAATTGATTGCGAAAGAGAGAATTTTGACTCTTTTTTCTTCTAAATATAAATACACTAAATTCATGATCAAATATACAGTTGAATCTTTGTTTATTTTAGTATTTGAAAAACAAAAAATGCTAGGAAAATTCTACGCTTGTTTTTTTTCTAAAATCAATGCAATCTCATTTCAGCTGAGAGTTAGAAAATTTGCTGTGTTCTTTCCATATTTCTTTCCAATTATCTTGAGTGATGTTTCGGAAAAACTTCTTGGAATTCAAAATCAGAATCATCCTAAGAGTTATAAACAGTATTCTAAGTGATTTATTTCCCTAGTTTGCTGAAATATTCCAATTTGGCAATTTCATTTCATTAGCATTTCACATCATAGATTTGTGGTGTAAAATGTGTCTGTGTGAATCCCGCCATCAATCAACATTCTCACCCACAAGTGCTACTGAATATTACACCCATGCTGACGTGCCCATCGTCTTTAATACTATTACATCAGCCGAGTCGTATGATTGTTTACATGATGGAACACCTGAAACCATTGTATATCTCTCAGACTTCGGCTAACTGTCTCTGTGGAGGTAATCGCAAAAATGCTGATTATTACTAATGTTTTGCCGGCTCGAAATTCCCCGACATTGTGGGTGATATGGAGTTGTGATTCAGTCAGTGTGCAAAGTGCGGCGAATGTACAAGTCAATCCGAGGAACCACCGCGGAGTAAATTTCTAGGCATCATTCTCAACTTTCCGCGATATGATTTATGAAGTAATTACAAGCGAAATTGTTACCATTATTTCTCGCCTAATCGCTCAAGTTCAAGTGTGCTGTTACTCCGCTTAAATCGGCCAACTCTCCAAAATTTGTGTATTTTGTGCCAACAATCTTTGGAAATTACAAGTGTGAGGAAGAGTGAGGCCCATATTTCGCAAGGATAACGATCCTCTCCATCAGATATCATTTATATTTATATCCTCTTGATGGTTCTATTCGGAACGCTCTAGCCGATTTTGCTGGCCTGAGATAGCGATGCCGAGAGGGAGTGGTGCCCATCAACTCATAAATTAGACGACACATTAAGAATTTGCGGAAAAAATACACGCGAACAGTGTGAAAATTCCACCTCATTCACCTACTTTGCGCCTTCCCAATTCTTCGACTCATACACACGCAAAATCGAATTTCATTATCAGAAGTGCGGAGTGTTGTGTAATTTTTCAATAAATACCGAATGAAGGAGAAAAAAACCGAAAGATAAGGCGAATGGAAGGTGTGGAAGTTTGGATTTTACGCACGTTTTGAATTATGCTATTCATTCATGGTTGAAGAACATCCCAAGAAGTTCACACTCACGCTCCTTCTCTCGAGGAGTCTATTGATATTGAGGCGGAAGCTTTTTATCGCTCTTTACTTTTAGCCAGTATTAAAGTTGCGCTCCGACATTCTGTGGTGATTTAATACTTTCCAGAACACTCGCTTGTTGTGTGAAATAAAAAAGAACTTAAGCTGAAATATTAACTAAAACCTGGAAAAAAAATAATAAGCAGCAAATCTTTATAAAATAGTTTTACAATAACTTTATATTAGAATACACAAGCACTCATCGCTAGTAATAAATTTGGATGCTGCACACGGAAAATCAGTATATGATTTTGGATGAATAGGCAAAAAAAAAACTTTGAGATGAAAATAAATTAAATATTTTATGATGACTCAAGCCGTATAATTTCCATATTGCCTGGTATGATAATAAATTATTTTTTCCCCATATTTTCACTTTTACTGAGGGAAAAATTCGGTGGTTGAAAGCTCTTATGGTATATTCAAACAGTTCGGCCTAAGCCATATACCTTTGCATCTTATTGTATAAAAAGGCTAACTCACATGCTGTTCCCAAATGCTTATCATTGGGGAGATTTATATTTATTGCCCCATTAAATGCATCCACAGACTCTCAAAGCTAATTCATGCTGATCACATTGAGAAATATGTACATACGAGGTTGAGAGAAGGATTAGAAACTTGCTTCAATTCTTATTTAGAGATTAACTATGACATGTCCTGCCATAGTTATAACTCTAATAGCAGAACGAGAGGGAGTACAGCAACATTGATTCATTAGCAAACACATTTGAGCACAAAAGGATTTAATTAGTGGCAATAAGAGCGTGGGTGGAGGATTTAATTTCGTGAGGATCTGAGGCAGAGAGAGAACGATAATGATCCTTGAAGGTGAATCAGTTTTCATGGCTTAATAGTCCTTTATTGGTCCCAAAAGAGTGCTCCTAAAAATACATGTACAACAGATGAGTTTGTAGATGGCAGAAAAATATCCGAAACGAGAATGGAATGAAGTGAAAATAATTTGATTTGATAAGGAATAATATTACTCTGTTTGTGATACTTCACATTGAGATAAAGTTGAGGGAAAAAGAAATGGATGGAATGGACCAATTAATTTTTATAGTCTTACAATTGGATAGGACAATTAGGGAAAATTGTTCCTTTTAATTTAGATGAAGTGGAACCATTATGATTATTTGTGAATGTTTCTTTTTTTCTGCTCTTCTCACATCTAACTTTCCTCCTTTTCTCCTTGAGAAATCTTCCTGCCCAGAAGCAATGTAGCATTTCCACGGTCTCTCTCTCTCCCCAGGATTTCTCATTGTCAGAACTTTTAATGTAATTTTCTTACACAAATCTCGAGGATGTCTTAAATCTCAATTATAGCACTCTTGCTCTGTGTCGTCTCACACCTCCAGAGCGGCCACATTAAATAATGAGAGCATATTGATGTAGACTTTTACGTGACACTTACTTGCAAATGAGGAGTCTATTACGCCAAAGTGGGAGAAAATTAATTAATGTTGTATGTTTCATGTAGCAAAAGTCTAGCAAAAAGGTGTAACTTCTTGTTCAAGCCCTTACTCACACACCATAGAGAAGGTCGTATTCACGAGTGGGTGTGCCGGAAAGGTACAAATTTAGCGCGAAAAAGAGGTGAAAAGACAAAAATACAGCCTAGGAAATTTGTGACTGTTAACAATGTCACATTAGAGCTGTACGTAAATAGCTAGGATTTAATGAAAATCACCCAGAGTTCCAGAATTCAGTAAAAGTTCTCAGACTTCTAATTAAGCCCTACTTTACATAAAATGAGTAGCTAAAGCATGCTGAAATTATGTCACGCGTTTTCCAATTCTCACTGTGCTTCAAAACACCTTACTGACTCCAACTATGTATCTACGTAATGATGTTGTGAAGATACTTGTTTTGTGTAATAAAGAATCCCCATTCAATGCTTCATTGCCTCTTAATGAAAAGGAAACATTGGAGATAAATTCACCTTCTGTATTCAAACACGAGTCAAAATATTTTTGATTTTATGCTCCAATTTTGGAAATCAATATCACTCCTCAATCATTTCGCAATCTCATCCAGTGTGATTAATGCTGTGTGTTAGCTTGAGCACTAGAAATGAAAGTAAACACCAAAGCATGCAACACATTAGCAAACGAACGTACACAAACAGACTCTCATAGTCATTTCTTCTCTTGTGTCGTGGAGTTAATTACTTATTACTACATAAGATACATAGCACAGTGAGAAGTGAGATATTGTGAAGATAATGCCACTTCCTTGATGTAAAGACACTGCTGTGGCATTCACTTCACGTGCTGCTCTTCTTGGAACCACCCACCCATGTTGAATTGCACGACGATGTGCGGTGCGATAACGAGTCATTTGCAATGTTTGATTTAACAAGTTGTCTCCCCAAACGAAACACCCACTCTCTGTCAATCTCACACAGGCGGGAAGCCTCCTGTTCCTCATTAGGCAACCTGAAAGCAATGGAACTGGGCTATAAGGCACAGAGAGCTTTTGGCTGAATTGGAATTTCGGCACCAGAATGCAGATAATAATAATGAGTTCAGGAATGATTTTGAGCTTCACGTGCATTGTTCGTGTTTCTGCATTCAAAATACTTAACTGACTGAATTTTTAGACGCTTTTCTGCGCCACTGATTTTAATAATAATCGACAAGGTTGAAGGTGAAATGCGACCAAATGCAAGTTGTCATCGCGTTTGGCATATATTCAGAAATTTGCACAATGCCAAGACGCTCTTCCATGTCACATTCCGCCATCCTGTGGGAGTGCTGAGTCGGGAAATGGGAAACTTTTTTCCGCCGTCCTACTTTATGGGGAAATACACAAGCTCGTCTTCCACGGGGAGCAACTTTGCGCGCTCTCTGTGATAATAGAAAATGTCTCCCCTCAACTTTTGGGATGATATTTGATTTAAGTGAAAACTTGAAGTGAACCATTTGTTGAACTTTACTCGCAGCCAAAGTACTTTTTTTTCCTGACATCTTCACCCTCCTGATTTGAAATCGCGATTGTGGGGAATTCTTTAATGTCTACAGTACTTTCTTTTAAGAAATAGTGGGAATTCCAGGAAAAAGTTGATAAAATCATTATTGTGAAACGTATGAAAGTAGTGAGATTAAAGATTTTCTCCAGAATATCTCAGGTAGAAAGGTAAATGGGAATTATAATTTTCTTTTCAGATACCACATAGACTATAATTAAATTCTCGAAAGATAGTGGCAGAAGATGAAATGAATAAAGAAAAAAATGCTGACGCCAGGCACTTTCTGTAAACGTTCAATCAAAGTATAGCAGAAGAGTGCAAAGTGTATATAGTGAGAGTGATACAAAATGGGTGAATCCATCATGCCAATCTTTGCTGATCGCCTCCGTAGTGCAGACACACTCATTTACGAAATTGAAACCACTCTTGGGCTGGATACAGACAACTCAACAGCTGCTACATCAGTGTCAGCAACATTGCGTCTCTACGACATCTTCATTCCCCTCCTTGGCGTCTTCATAATTCTCCTCAACTTGGCTGTGGTTATTTCCAGCGGATTGATCCTCAAAAGAGGTGAGTCTTCTCTAATTACACAATACATTCCCCCCAAAATCCCTTCGAGATACACTTTCGCACCATTTGTCGACGCCGCGGCGGTTTTCCGTGGCGGAGAATGAGAAATGCTCGCCTCACCGCTAAGTTCACAAGTTCATGGCACGTAATTTATTTCTTGTTGATGACGCCAAACAAGACCACAGATTCGCGAATATATTATTGTCTCCCGAATTACATCTTACCCATGAACCGTCAACATAAGTCAATTTACTCTAATTTCTAACGACGTGATGCTCATAGTCTCACGATGGCATTGCTCGCATCTTGATGATAATCACACTCAGCATACGGCCAAAATTATTCAAATCGCATAAAATTTATGAAAAAACCACCATTATTCATGCCCTAGCCCAAGACAATGTGCTCGTTAGTATTCCACTGTGAAGGATATATTCCAGGGAAATTGTGAGTTTGTTGAGGAAGACAAAACCTTGTTGCGAACTAAAAACAAAATTTGCATTTCAGTGAAAGTTCGAGGTATTTTTAGCAGTAAGAGCTAATGGCTCTTTCCTGAATTTCACAACATATACGTATGAAAACACGACAAACATTAAAGAATAACATCCCAGGCAAAGATGTGGTGAAAGTGCGGAGTTCTCTAAAGATACATGAAGAGCAATGCTTACCTGCATAACTTATTTAAATTGAATTTACATAATTGAATTAATTTTAAGAAATGTAAAAATGTGCAAAAAAAACCGCTCGTGGAAATACATGTAAATGCAAAAATTGTATTTCGTTGTACGATGAGAAAAATTCACATGCAAATTCACAAAATTCTTTACCTCAAAGAAACTGAAAAGTTCTTTCAATAAAATATAATTAACTATTAATTCAATTTAACAATTAAATTTATTTTCAAATTCTCTATCACTATTAATAAATAATCTAGCAAAGAGAAATGGATTAATGTTATTGGTCTTGACGCTTACAGCAAGTGTATGAATTATGGTACATATGTATGGCACTTATGAAAATTAGTGGTCAACTCGATGGTCAATGGATTTCTGGCTACAATAGAGTCGTCTTGCATGTGAATTGGGTCACTTGACGAGAGAGTTGAAGCATTTTGGTGGGTTCTGAGCTCGAAGGAGATTCGAGTCGATCGTGACTACAATATTTCATTCACAATGTTTCATTAGTGACTTCAAGTAGGAACAATCAGACCATTGTGATTATAAATATTTGCCAAACTATATTTCTTACACAATAAAATGCAATCAAATCCTAACGCGCTGCAAGTGGGAATTTGCAGGCATTCATGCACTCTCTGTACATATTGGTTCGCTCGGCGTGCACAATTTCGTGATGTATAGAATAACGCTTATGCATACGAGTATGAGGACAGGAGATAGGAAGGGTGAACGTGTAGCGGAAATTTCATACAATTTTCCCTCATTGGTATTTGTGCTGAATATGAGTCTGTGTGTATTCTGATAAGCGGAAATTTCATGGGTTTGGGTACATTTTATTGACTCCACACGACTATTCACATTTCCTTCATTCATCACGAGCTGTGGTGGGGAAATTTTATTTTCACCACAGCTTCTTCGGCGGCAAAAGGGTCATGTTTGGCGATGATGGGTGGGAAAGAGAGTCGCATCACTTCAGTATGCATGACAGCATTGAGCGACATTTTAAATGGAGACATAAATTCGAAGGGAAAATCTTGTATCTTTCTCTGTCCTCCCACACTTGAGATTGCAATAAAATAGTTGTGTGTACGAGTTCTCATGTACACAGTATTGCTATTTTGGACACATTGCGTAAAAACTCGCCACAATATCAACTCAGCCAATACTGTTCAATCAATAGTGAATAGAGAATTGTGGGCCATTTCATTTTATCCTCGATGGCATATTTCGCTCTGTTGCATTTTCACACAGAAATACTCTTTCTGGCCACTATTTTTGACGCAATTTGAGTTTGTATGGGCCAGGAAAAGAGGGTGTTTGGGTGGAAAAAGCAAATGACTTGGTAAATTTGCAAGCGACCATTGTCGTATGGCTGTGGGTGTAAAAAGTTGACGATGCTTTATGATGATATTCCACCCGAAAGAATGGTTTTCTTGGGAGACGGATTGGCAGAGAAAGTGGGTGTCACGAAATTTACAAATATGAAAATGGAGAAAATGGGCCATTTCCCAAGTCCTCCTTCTTCTCATTTTCACAAGCAATTGTCTACTCTTTTGTTGTCAAATGAGAGTGGCCAAGGAAATTTAAAGGGCTTCTCCGCACCTACATCGCGATCCTCGCAATTACTATAAAAATAAATATGTAATTTAACAATATTCTTATTTCCCTTTACTATGTAAAATTAAATCTCTATATTGTTATCGGATTGTATTCATCAAATGTTATCGATTGTGTTCAAGAGGGTCCTTTAAGAGCTCCTAATAGTCCTGAACAACATGGCACCATATGGCGAACCTGTACTTTTATACAATATTCAAAGATTATGTTTAGCTCCCTTCTTTTCTCTATAAATTGTCCGGGTAATAAAATATAGAAAGGGGTCAAGTCAATTGTTACCCCCTCAGTGTTCGCTCAATACAAATACAATCCATTAACTTCTAAAGTGGGATCGAAAGTGGGAGCCTTTTCTAGGTCGTCCCCGGAAAATCCGAACTGCCACATTCATGCCACGTGTAAACTCCTAAGATGACACTTTTCCATTCTCCCGCCTCGGCGTCGAGTAGCATAGAATAAAAAAAGTTGTGCGAGGACTTTAAGTAGCTTTTATTGAGATTCAATAAATTTGAGAAGAGGCGACAGCATGAAAAAGGTGGGCACGCAGTTGAGTTGGGGCCAAATCTCAATTCTTTATTCAATGCCCTTCACCTGTCACCTTCATTTACTCAATTACGCATGAATTTTCTATGAATTTGACATCATTTTGACTATCTCAGCGGCAAGTCTGATGAATATTGTACGAAATGATTGGCCACACTGAGACAGAGTGCACAAATTACTTCCGAAAATGCACTGCACCGACTGCAAGCTATTGTGAAATTCATTTGGGAAGTAATTGAATTTTGTGTGGGGAAAATGGTGCTGATTTCCACTAAACATTGGAGTATTTTCGTACAGAATGCCATTTCACTGGCAAATTAATTAATTTACAATAACGACCCCCCAATGAATATAATTCACGGTGCATTGTTGTGTCAGGCTGTACAGGCAGGAACCTTCCAGTGGGAAAACTAATTTTAATGCGCGTTCTTCCCGCGCTTCACATTATCATTTCCCATTTCTGCTCTGGCTCATACATTTGACGGAAGTAAAAACAATTTAAAAAACAGGAATAGATTTATTGCTGTGCGTTTCACAACTTCCTTATTTTTTGCAATTCATTAAATGATTATAGCCATTCAAATGTTCCTCCTATTCCTCAATAAATCGAGATTACAGTCTGCCTTCAATGTGTTGTGCGGAAAATGTGACTTTACAATGCAGGATTTTACAATTTGTACCAGAGATTTTGGAGATTTAAAGCTTTAGGGCTGAAGTCGTAAAGTTTAGTACAACACAAGTATCTAAGATCAGTATGTAAATACTATGGTCTTCGCCTTCTAATTACTTTGCTTAAGGTTAACTCATGAGCTCACCTCCTTTCCATCCGAGCGTTAAACTAATAAATTATATTTAACTGTGTAATTGGTGAGCAGTCATTTGATGTGAATAAATATCATAATTCGCTAAAAGTACATTCATCAAGCAAAGTGGCGGTAAATACTGTACGATTCTTCCGAAAAAAAAACTTTTCCGAAAGCGCTCTTCCCCAGAGAGATACAAAAAATGCGTAACGCCGAGGGAATCTCCTCGAGAGAACAGACATCTCATCGACATATAATTTTATGTGGTATATAAAATCTGGTAGTATAATCTCGTATCTAATTGAATTTTTACAGGTCAGCAGCCAAGAAGCACTTATATGTTCCTGGGAAATGTAGCTCTCTCCGATTTAGTGACTGGTATTGCTGTGCTCTTTGGCCAATTCTATCCACGAGAGTATCGAGATGAGCATTCATGTGCTATTCAAATTGGTATGTTATGTTACGTTGTACTGTGTTTGCTGACAAATTCGCAATCCAACTTTGGGAAAATGTGCGACTGTCGTTCCATTTCATTCATTTATTTTCATCATTATTTGTCGCTTGTCCAACCAGGATATGTCCCACTTAATTTTCATGAGTGTAAAATATTCATACATCAGTCGATTGTACTGAGAGCGACAGCATGTGTGACAGGGTCGGTTGTCGTGCTAATTTTATTGGCGAGGGACAAAGAAGATTGTCAACATAAATTGCTGCTCTTGTCTTTCATCGCCAAATTTGTTGGCACTTTTTTCTTTGCTATCTGTGTGACGCAAGGGAAAAAATCACCCACGCGCCGTGAGATGAAATCAATACTTGGATACATTATCACTTTTGGGGGATGTCTCTCGGAAGCGCCGTAATTGCCTCTCTTTAATTCCCACTCTCAGGCATGATTGTCTCCTCCACGGTAACATCTGTGTACAGCGTAGGGCTTATTGCCATCGACAGATTCCTCTATATACTCTACGGACTGCAGTATCAAAGGTGGATCTACCCCAACAGGACGCGAATTCTCATACTATTCACATGGATCCTCGGTAAGTGAAATCGCAATTCAGGGAATTTCTCTTTTTTCGGCAATTAATCAATCAGAATTTCCCTGGAAACACGCTCCCTTTCATCTGCACGTTCATGCTGAATCCATTAAATTTGTTGCCAGCAGCAAGGAGATTTCGCTCCCTCAGACGATGAATACCGTCCACCCACGCGATGCTCTGCGTCCCCCTGAATGGGTAATTCCATCCGCCGATGTGGGGCACGCTTGACCCTCCCTCACCACTCACAGCAATCTGATAACACAACTCAAAAATCAGTGAATACCTTTTGTGTAATCCACTTTTTTTTCCAAAGCTAATTTCCCATCTTCTTAAACTGTAATACCATCACAAGGTATTTCCACACACAACATCGCTGGGGCGATTCAGTCTGATGAATGCTGCGACGTGACCTTTTTCAATCCTATAAAAAGAATTAACTTTGGATATTGACTTTTTCCGAAATGCTTCACAATTCACATAAGAATGTATTCAAATATAACCTTTAGAAACACGATATATTCAATGCTAAATTAAGTCTACCATTTGACCCATTCGGCTTCCCGTATTCCTCACGGTATTCTGTTAAAGCACTTAAAGAGCCCTTTGAGTATCAATTGGAATGGAATTTAAGCTACCTCATGTCAATTATATTAAAATGTTTACTCAATATAATATAAGTGCATTATAATTTGTTCGGAAAATATTTTCCATGTTTTTCCATTCGAAAATGCTGCACTCAGAATCCCATTTTATAAACTCATTAACACTAACTACAAAAACACTTGTTTTTCCCTTAGCGTGTATATATAATTTATGTACAATGTGTAAATATGTGATATATTACTTGTTTGGTTTTTACGCATATTTGCTATTATAATCAATTTTATATCATTCTCGAATGAATGATTTAACAAACAAACACGGATTAAACCTACTATATTACAATTATTGCCATGTTTTAGACAGATCCTTTATATTTCCACAAAAAATAAACAAATTTCTTGAGCAACGAAAACATTGAACTTTAAAAAATTCAAATTTTTGTTTTTATTTCTTCATTGTTACTGTTGATCGTTGATAAGGAGATTTAAAAGCGATAGAATATTTTTATATAGCCTAGAACTCCCAATAAAAAAAACACCAAATGCGATTCACCTCACAAAAGTGCAGAGAGAAAAAAAATATAAAAATGAAACATCCCCTTTTTCCGCCCATCGCACGAATTGCTCAGTGACATAAAAATGCGCTGGAACCATTTTGTTTCATTTTTTCCTGGCGAATGCAAATAAATGTGAAACATAACATTTTTCGAGTTGGAGAAAGGTATTCTGCGGGGAGAAGCGCGCCATGTAGCTAAGCAGGAAGTATTTACTGAATGCATGTATATATTGCAGATGATATAATAAAAATGAGAGATTCACTTAGGGAGTTCTGCACTGTATCCAAAATTTATATCCCCATGGCGTTTTCTTCATTCCGCTGCGACTGAAAAGTTCACGAAGAGAGAGATTTTCAAGTACATTCTCTCTTATATCTCCCCGAATATTAACGTAATAGAGAATCATAAGAAAAAAATTTTTGAATTAATTGAAAAATCTCATTGTTTCTTCAAATCTCAAGTGTCCCCTTCTTGATTCACTTGAGCCAGCCGTGTGAGATGAAATGAAAATAATAATGAACCTCATTTTATTGTCTTTCAACCCATGGAAAAAAGAATATTTTTGGCCTAGAATACCTCATTATTTTTGTATCATCGGTATTACAAGACATTTCCTAGAATTTCCAATCAGTTTCGTTTCATTTCAAGTGTTATACGCAATTCCGTAGCCTTTCCTCATCCCTCATAATTGCACAACTCCGTTTGAGTGCCGAAATAACGAATTCGCCATGCAACTCAAATGTATCCTTGTCCATAACATGGGACACAGGAATAATATTCGCATCTCTACACCATTGCCTGTCCATAGGGATTTTCTCTAGCCAAGTGAAAGAGGCACTTAAATACAAATCCAAGTAATAATAAAGCATTTTCTCCGCACACAGGTTTGATAATCGGATTCCTGCCGGCCATGGGGTGGCGCGGCGACACGGACAATGGCCGTGTGTGTTGGTTTATCGTGCTAGCGCCACCGGAATTGGTGCTGCTGACCACCATCCTGGGCCTCCTGCCCATCCTCCTCGTGGTCGTGCTGTACAGCATAATCCTCTACCACGCTCTCCGCCGGGTGATCGCACTGAACAAGGCCACACAGCAGCACACTGGCGTGCAGAGTGGCACACTTCGGATGCACGTAGGCGCCTCCACCCAGACCCTCAACGAGGAGACGCTTGCAGCGGCGACCACATCCGATACGGAAGAGCCCTTGCAGCCACGGAGGAGATTTCTTCGATTTCTATCGCGGTATGTATGGCCCCCATTCACAGGAAAAGCCATTTCAGATAGGGCACTCTCGATGGAGGGAATTCAATTGAATGCGCTCTGATTTATGATTCCTAATTAGCCTTCTGTACATAGATATGTACACAGCTATGTGGTTCAATATTCCATTTACCGAGGAAGTTGTTTAAAGCTCTGGGCATTTCAGTCATCTCACTTTGTAAAATCATATCGTTTTGTAGCGTGAAAGAGAACTCAGATGTTTATTGTAATATTGAACACTTTATTTCCGCACGTATATCAACCCATAAGTCAAACCATAAAAATTTCAAGAATACCTTTCTCATTTGTTACGCCCAAAGCACCCAAATATTTCGACTATTTCCCTTTCGCTGCGTGCTCTAGCACCTCTTTGAGATGCTTGGCACTCTCCTGAAGCGCCTCCACAAACTCAGACCCGTTCCTCTTGGCGTGATACGTGCTCACGATGCTACCCAAGCGATCCTTGTCAATTTGATAGCCAATGCCATAGCCATCGGCCACCACAGGCCCAAAGCCGCCCACCTCGAGCGCTGGCGAGGAAAGAGTGCTGGTAGAGAGAATGTTGTGGTTGATGAGCTTGTAAGCGGTGTCCTTGTATAGGGCAGACTCCTCTTCAGCTATTCTCCTCAGGGCGAATAAGTGCCTGTCGAATCCCTGTCCCATGGCAGCTTCACGGGTCAATTGATTGTGACGATCTGAGCACTCTCGCAGCAAAGCCACCTTTTCAGCCGACGCCGCTCCGCCTTGGCAGAAGCGCTTTGTGGCGTCTGTTGCCGGCCGGACAGTCTCTGTGCGTCCGCACCTGAAAGCGGAAGTGCTGCAAGACTCGTAAGTGGCGGCAGTGCCGCCGCCAGACACTTGAGCGTAAGCCAATTGGATGGCAAGTTGCGCCACTGCGTCGGGACTGACTTTCGCCGCCTTGCAGAGAGATCGTCCCACGCCCGAAGCCATCATGTAATTCACCGCCAAGCTCTTCTCCACCTCCTGGTGACGCTGCGTGGCTTTCTCCACCGCATCCGTGATCCGGGTGTCCAAGTCGAAGTTGAGATGCTGCAGGAAGTTCTCACCCGGCTGACTGTCCATCTCTGCCGACACGAGAGGACTTCGAGACAGTTCACTGTACAGCTCATTGAAGTATCTGAGGACAGCCACTCCATCACCCCAAGAGTGCTCGAATGTCACGGCACACCGGGAATCCTTGCTCAGGATCACGCTTAAGGATTTGTCGAACCACCTATTCCCAGCATTCGAAAACAGATAATCAGTCACGCGTTTGGAGACATCATCTGGCGCATAATCGATGTCATCCAGGCACACGCAAATGATGGCAGAGTCCACAACTCTCAGCAATTGTTTGTTATTCTCCGAGAGCGTCTCCAAGTGACTTCGCAGCTCCGCCCACGTGTCTCTGTTCTGTGTAGTGAAAATGCCCAATGGAGCTCTCGCCTCAGACTGCGTCTGTGACGTGGCCAAGAGATGCTTCACACGCGACAGAATCACTCCCGGTGCCTCGATGTTCCCATCTTTGTCCATGATATCCAGACGATACAAGTTGCCTCGGCGCAGCACCAACACATGACGTGGGTCTTTGTCAGCACGCCAAATGGCATCCTTGCCCAGCTGAGGAATTCTCGTGGCTGAGAAGAGTCCTTGGTACTGCGACATGTCGAGCGGAAAGGATTTGAAGGCGTACGAGGCGTACGTGGTGAAGCGCTGAGGCGTCATTCGCACAACAGTGTTGTACAGGGCAGAATTCGCCGTCTCCGGACGCATGTGAAACACCTCCGGAGACAGCATTTGCGCCCTCAGTGCTCTCATAAAGCGCGCCGTGGTGACGAGGATGTTGGCCAGCTGGATGTCCACCGGAGCAGGCGGAGAGCTAGTGTGTTTCATGCCCAACAGCGGTGTGTAGTTCACCGGCAGCGGAGCTCTATCGCTGAGATACATATCGAACCTGCCAGAGAGGTGGACAATGAGATCTCCGCCAGGTGCCAAGGCAGGTGCAAGGAGTGGAGATTTCTTACCATGGCTCCGATATGTAGCTGGTGTGCTGATTTGCTGCATCCTGGGCTTTCAGGCGCTCTTGGAGCGTCCTTCCCTCGGCCGCTTGGAACTCCTGGGCCAGCTTAGCTGTCCGGGAGTGCTGGTCGGCCGTGAGCAGCGGCCTCAGGGCCGCCAGGTAGCGCTCGCACGTGGCCCCCAGCTCCGGAATGGGCAGGCGCGGCAGGGAGCGCTGGAAGTGGAGCATGGGAAGGGAGCTGCGGTGCAGGAATTGATAGTCGTGCGTGGAGAAGAAACGCACGGAGGCGCCGGTGGGCCATCGGCGCAGCATCGTTGCACACTGGACTGCGATCAGTGGACTTTGGGTCACATTTGAAGGATCACCAGGAGATTAGGCGGCTCAGATAAGCCCTAAACTCGATATTGATATGAATTCACTCCACTGAATTGATAAACACGGGGACGGTCGACTGACAACTGGCACAGCTGCGACTGCGCACTGCAAACCACTGCTGAGTCACACATCCCAGCTGTGAATGTTTCCATGTCTGTCCACTTTCTTTCGTTTCATTCGGTGTTTCAGCGGTTTCAGCGCGCGGCCAGTGACCAAGGGGCGTTTATTGTGAAGACACTTCAGCCACATTATGGTTTGGTATTTAGAATGAAGTGACCATCAATTATATGTTTATCGAAACACACATTTCACTGAATCTCTATTATTCCATTTATTCCCTATTTATGTCCTCAGATTTAGGCAATCAATATAAACTCGTGCACACATTTAATCATCAGTTTCTTGCCCCTAAACCACGATTAGTAGGTTTGAATTTTGTATCCGAAAACTGGGATGAATATTTCAGCAAAAGTTGAAGATGATTTGCATTCACTTCATTGTCTTTAATTCATGACACTGCTAATCCCTATTAAATCCCGTCATATCCTTACCACGGGACTGACTCAATTGTAGCCAAATTACTGATATGAGTACTTATTGTCGCTTAGCAGAAGGTTAATTCATGCATAATAAGAACTATATAATAGGAAAACTTTCATGCACCTGGACCAGCCGCTGCTGTGTGGCTGATAATAGACTCATAAGACCTCCTCCCGCCATTCTTATCCTGCTTTTAATCTCACACGAGCCTCCAACGATAGTGCCATGTAATTTTACCTCGCACACACTCACAGGTGGGTGGACACTAACGAGACTAAAATCCCCGCTTCTTCCACCCCCGCATGCACAGGCGAAGAGCGAAGAGCAGGACGAATGTACGCCAGACAACCGGAAAATCGCCCAGCAAATGGAAAGCAATTAAAGTGGTGCTATTTACCACGGGGAGTTTCGTCTTTACCTGGGTGCCATACTTTATCGCCTCCACAATGTACGTGAATTGCGATCCGCAGGCAACGCCAGAGTTCTGCACGAGCCTCCGAATTGCCATTGCCAGTCCGCTGGCAATTCTCGGTTTCGCCAACAGCCTTCTCAATCCCATTATCTATGCGTGGTGGCACAATGGCTTCCGGGAGACGATGAAGAAAATCTGCTGCGGTCGATGCCGCAAGACGTCGGAGGAGCACGGCAGCTCCAGTTCGCAGCGGAGCAGAAGCACGCCCGCCACAAGCCCCGCCACCGCAGCCCCATCAGCCACGAGCCACTCCGGACGGGCGAACAGTGGGAGTGACACGGATCTGGCTCAGCACTCGCCCGACGACTCCGACATTGAGAGCACTCCAAGTACACGTGCCAAGACCTACGTCAACCCCTTGCCTGACATATCACCCAGCGCAAGATCTTCATCCCCCGCAACATTTATGACAAAAGTCTCAGAAGGCGGAATGAGCAACAGAGGCAGAAATTCAGTTCCTAATTCGCTTTCATATCACTAGATAGCTGACTTTGCAGGAAATTGTGGAATCACAGCACGAAAAGGACGCTTAGAATAACCGTGTGTGTGTGAAATAGTCTTCAAAAGAGTAGTAATACTATGTTATTTTTATGATTTCGATTATGAAATGCATGTGTAAAATAGAATTAGTTCATTCCGTTCATTCAGTTATAAGTTAGCTTTAAAATATTTCACAAAAATGAACATTTATGAATAGGAAACAAATAAAATGGCACTAAATCATAATTTAATTTTCATGACTTGCATGAATAAATATAAAAAGTTTTAATATTCCCGTACTGTAAAGAATCCCAATTAAATAAAGTTATTAAAAACAATATTAATTTAAATTGGAGCTTTGACTGGTCATTCGGAAAAAGTGTTGCGAAGAAGTGATTACCAAATATTGCCAAAGCGTTGATAGGTATTTAACAAGGTAGTTAAGGACTATAATGGAAATTGATTTAAAAAAAAAGTCAATTATAAACATATATAAACTTATGTAATCGAAATTTGTCAGTATAGAAAAATAACATGCAATTTTAGTCTCTCATTTAAACGTAACTCTGGCCTTTGAAAGCAAAGTGCTTTTTGTGCTAGATATATGCAAATCTACTTTCAGATGGAAAATTCATCTATATATTAATATTTAAAAACCTCTATTCAATTGGAAATCCAACTAATTTCCGGAATGGTTAGAGTGTCACGTCTGCCCAAAGCCTACCACGATTCTCCATTTCGCTTCATTTAGCTGTGATTTCCATTCCCTCTCATGCAGTTGGACATTATAAATTATTTCGCAAAATTTGATATGTTTGCCAGATAATAAATGTATCCAAATATGCTATGCAAATTGCAAACCTATTTTAAAATAATTATTTACGAGGACGGTTGAAAGTCGATCAAAATTACGAAATATTTTATTTGCAAATAAATATCAAAGTTGGAAGCTATATTTTGATACAGATACATTGGATTTAATTGTATTATTTTTGTTTGATGTTGAAAAAAAATCAAAACAAACCATTATATTATATTTACTCTGCTGATAACTGAAAGTTTCAATTGCTAGATAAATTCTTGCTTGAATCAATAAAATGATACAAAATGCATACGTATGTCAGTAAAGCGGTATGCAAGAAGGGTTTGCAATTAAAAACTCTAATTAAAATATTTCAATAATATTTAGTTTAATCCACACGAAAACATTGAAAGGTGAATTTCATTACCACAAATCCTTCTCTAATTAAGAGATGATTAATATAATTTGAATCGTAAAGTAGTTTCAATTATATTAAACTGACTGAATATAAGCTCAAAGTTTGTAAGAAACTATTATGACACTTGGCATTAATTAGAGTATTTTACTCTGACAAGAGTAAAAAGTTACAATTAAAAAGAGTATCTTGAAAAATCTGTGTCTAATTCTGTACGATAAAAGCGAAAAATCACGACTGTTTCTTGTAAAACGTGCCCCAGAAAAGTGATTTTTTTTAATCCAATTACTCTGACCTCTCTTTTAGTTAAACTTTCTCTGCCCTTCTTGCTTTAGTCACTCTTTTCTGTGCCAGAATAGTTGAAACAAAGTTCATAAAAACTTTGATTACATACTTTTTCTCAAGTAATCTTTCACTGTGATGCAATATTACTGTATTCGGAAACTTTTATCGGATTATTGGATCTGGCTTCGTGTAAATATACAGGATATTGTGCCCTATTGTAGCTGCAATTTTAATAAAGCTCCAACACTGAGACGAACGGAATATGGATGCCGGATCGGAAATATTGAAAATGCATTCAGCAGGAAGAAAGTACAGTGGATGGAATAATTTAAAAAGACAAAGAGAGCACTTTTCAATTTTCTCTCAATTTTAATACAGGCTCGCAGTGCTTACAATATATTATTTATAGAATATGACGAAACAAATTGCACTGAGCTGAACAAAGCCGGAGTGAAGAGAGTCTGACGAAAAAATAATGTTGTGAACAATTTTCGTATTCCATCGAAATAAAAGTCTGCCGCCGGAGAGAAAAATCGCATTGACGATGGGGAGCAATCAGTGACTTCTATTCGATTTTCCTCGCTCTTATTTACTTTATATGTAGGAATTCAATTTGCATATAAAATCCACATACAGCGTGTACCTATGTCTTAATTTGAATCGTGAACAGCATTAATTTGGCTGGGATTTTCGTGGAACGTTGACTTTCCCGCCATTTTCTTCCTTTATTCCAATTCACCCCTCTCTATATAATGTGTGTTTACTCAAAATGGTGACTTGATTGGATTTGCAACTTCCGCTCTGTTCGCCGAGGTCACAGTTTAAAGGGGAATTTTATATAAACTCTAGAAAAAAAAACCTAATGGAAGCTCATACTGATTGAATTTTTCCAGCGAGTAACTATTTGTTCAATCCCATGTTTTATCTTTTTAATCTGCGTTTATTTATAGGCAGACAAGCAGATGATAAGAATTTCCAACAGAAACAGATATTGATTCGATTATTCCAACTAATTAAAAATTCAAAGATCACAAAGAAATGACAATTGCAAATGATGTTTTTAAACTTTCATTCGCTAGATTCATTTAGCGTCTCACGTTATTCTATATACCAAATTTGATATAAGTTTTCCTATAGGTTTGATGAATATTTTCTCTAATATCTACATTAAGATGCCCTATTATATGGCCGAAAAACTTTACACCCCCAGTATTAATTGCAATTTGTGTATCTCTGAAAGTTGAAAATTTTTAATGGAGCGTTGAGCAGAAGTGTAAAAGTTTTAATTGACTTTTTCTCAGATTTTCTCAGATCTCCCCAGAGAGAGCTTTCTCTCAAGTTCATCTTCTGCACTTCATCCCTAAAACACCCGCCGCTCATCTCTCCATAATTATTCATCCAATGGAAATTGCATGTTAATCTTGCAACAGACATTCTGATTATATTCCACCACCTTAGCGGTTGTTCGGGCTATTTGATTCGGAATTGTGGTCTCTCAGCTGCACTCTTTCGGAGCATCAGCAGGAGATAATTCTTCGGCACACAAGCGATGGTGCAGACAGATTTCAGCTCAATCGAAATGCAATTGGCACTTTCCTCTGCTGCACTCTAATTGCCAGTGTCTGCGTGTACAGGGTTAATGAAGTGGGGCAACATTGGGGCGGAAGTCGGTGTGCACAAAAGGTGGGGTTCGCTCACCTGGAGAATTCTGCATTCCGCAATCGACATCACTTCGTGGCAAGTTGGATGCATTCGACATAGTCGAGTTAACTGCATAATTCGCTCCTGCTGCTTGTTGAATTTGCGACGTGGTGGTGACCACCCTCTGGACCGTGTACAGCACAGAGGGCACATTCTGCGGTGCCGCCTGCTGCTGCGGAGCCTGGGAGGGTGGCGTGGGCGACACAACGGACGTGTGATCCAGTTCCGTTGACGCTGGCACAGGCGTTGTTGGTATTGCGTAGAATTCGTCGCGACATCGCTCCCTCATGTACTCCCCGAAGAAGATCCTGGATCTGCGGGGGATCAGCAAAAATACGGCCATGAGAATGAGGAGAAAGTGACACATACACACTGTCTGTATACATGAATTATATGGCGGAAAGTGATTGTATCTCATGTCACAAGAAATACTTTCAGCATGAAATGGGATTATGTTAACCACCCACGCCCACCCATGTGCAACACAATCTAATCATTTCACTTGTAAATCATCAATTGCTCCCGCTCAGTGTCACACCGCCCGTGTGTGTCTTCTGTTTGACCTGTCAATGCCAATGATTTATACATTCCAGAGGAAGCTGTTGGAGAGCTTTACATTTTCGCCCATAGAACGGAAATGCAGAGGCCACAGCCAGAGCAACAACATCGAAAGACATCCACACAAAAAGTCACTTGTACATGCTTCCATTAAGCAGATGAGATGTAATTCATGTTCGACATTATGCCCGTGTTGTACTATCTACTTTAAAGCCGAATAACAGGGAATTTCAAGAAGAAAAAAATTACTGCTTGGCATTAAGAGTGATTTCCAGGAAGAGAGTAATGTGCGTACATAGGAATTCCATATATAGTCAAGCGAATTAATTTACATTATGAAAATTTTAAAGCTTCTTACGTAAATACACCGCTTTGGTCCTGTTTTCCCTTTCAAATTTTTCCACACAGTATTCCAGGAAAGGTCAAATTGCTACGCAAGATATGCGAAAGTACACAGAAATAAAATAAAAAATAATTTTTCAAATACGACTTCCTAAAAACTTTTCATGACAACATAATTAGGGCGGCTTATGTGAATAATAAAAGAAAATTATAAGCCTTAATGAAGAACCAAAGTAACTATTGAATATTTCGATAAGTAAATCTTATTCAAGTATGTATAGATAATTAATATTTGTGTTTCAACTAATATCAATTTCCCAATTTGTAGCAGAGAAATTAGATTATAAATGATTATGTATGCATATTTAATTAAGAGATTTCCGCAGGGAATCCTCAGTAATTCCTTTGGAATTTCGCCTTATTTCACTTAAGTCCCCAGCTAAAAAGCGGCTGATGGTGCCAGACAGAGGAAATCTCATCTAGCAAGAGCAGCCATACGTTAATGGCTTTCGAATTGATTTATACCCTCACCCAGGGTTGAAAGACGAAGAGCGCCGAGACAAAAGTCATAAAGTTTTCTAAAAGCATCCTTGCATTTTAACGTACACTTTATATCATTCCACTCACTATACTCTTATTCTTCCCTCTGTCATCCCAACTCTCAATGCAATAAGCAGTCGCACTACAACTTTTCAACTGTAGCACGTCTCCTTTTTCCTCCTTCTCGAGGCCAATGTTAAGGGATGGAATATGTTTTTCCTTATTTTGCTCCTCATATTTTCCTTTTATGTTGCAGCACGACAGCGTTGAAGTCTCACCACCCCAAAATCATAATCCTACAAATGGTGTATATATTTCTCGTGAAGAGAATCTCCAGGAATCCCCTACTATTGAGATGGACTGTTATGCTCTGCAGTCCTACCCGAGAATGTTTCTCTGAAAGCTCCACATAAATTGCATGGATCCCGAGAAATATTCCCTAAAATATAATTCTCAATTTCACCGTATAATTCTAATTTCATGTAATCTAAAGATTTATACCAATTCATATCGATACAACATCATTTCATCATTTTAGCAGGAAATGTGAAGATCAATTTAAATAAAGGAATCATTGGGATTTCCGACTACATAAATTTGCACCTTGTTTCCGACCGACAGATCTAATTATTTATGTCCATATATCTTGTAATGACATTATATTAACGACTCTCGTGTGAGGACCTATGGCCCTCCATATATAGCAATGGAGAGCTATTGAATCTCGTACGGCAGCCGAAATATTTTAAATGTGGCCATGTACACATATTCCGTTGATTAGGATAATATATTAGAAGTTAATTGGAAGATGGGGATGACCAAATTGGGTTACTTGTTCATGTGATTAGCTAGTAACGAGGGCACACTTACTTGGTGTGGTTTTGTCATCATGAGCACCACAATTCACAGTCCCATTTGGTGCGCGTGAAAGTGGCACTAAATTCATTAACTCGACTCTAGAGAATGTGGCCGCTCGATTTCCTGGAGACACCCATTCGCCCCGAAATCCACCCAATGCCTCCTCATCAACTCATGGGGCCACACACATTTGGGGACGAGGCTCAACGCTCAGTAACCCTGAAATCCTCAAGAGTATCGTGGTAGTCGGTGTGGCAGTGTGGGGCGTCTTTTCGGAATTCAATGCAGTAACTTTGGGGACACATCGCCCGTCGTCCCAATTGGTATTCTGCAGGGACAAAAGGAGGCGCACCTTTTCTGCTTATAACCGTGTGCATTTACGCCAATGCCGTGGATGCCTTTCGTCCCAGCACTTTGGCGAACTTTCCTCGTGACATCACTTCCAGCTTTTAATATGTGTGCGACAGTGAAATTTATGAGCGTGTCCCATCCAGTGCACATACGTCCATAAAAACGAAATTAAATTTTTTTCGTCTCACAGAATCCTATATCCAGGATGAATTTCACTGAGCACCCGTCGCGACAGTATATTTCTATATTTTTGCCAGAACAGAGATTGTCTTGTGCCACCTCTGGACCTGTGTGTCCTTTCAACCACGATGCCAAAACTAGGGGAAAAGTCTGTGTTTCGCGGTGAACCACAAAAGGCAGTTCACCACATCATTGTCGCTGTCGTTGTCATCGGACAACAGCAGCAGAAATGCCACAATGTTTTGTGGTTTGCTGTTAGTTTCAACTACTTTCTCATAGCTCTCTGGAAAACACCCTGAATAACTCGCCCGCACACCGGGTCTTTTTCATTTTACAAAGGCCATTCGACTGTCTGCAGCAGAGGTATCATCAATGTCGAAAGCTCTAGCTTGAGATTGAGGCCATTCACGAGACACAATTGCTATAGTGTGCAACAAACAGAGACAAATAATGGTTTTGATCACCAACATCCGCTCTGACAAGCAATATTGCATGCTTCTCAGCCTTGACAGAAAGGATTCCTCGTCACACTCAACTCCCCTATCAATATTGAGAGTGGATTAGACACCATGTAATTCTGGAATTATTCCAATTAAGCACGAGATATAATGGCAGTCTTTGATAGAGAGAAATTAATTATCTATTCACCAAATATGGTTTTAAGCGATTTTCTAAGAAACAAATGCAAATCAAATGAGAATTCAGGGATCAAAGATACATTTCAGTCATCCTTTAATTCCAGTTAAGGGAAAATTACTGGAATTATAATCAACATATAATTATTTTTTAAGAGCTCTGGGTATTTAATTCCATATCAACGATGAATAACTCTGACTTATTATAATACAAATATAGCAAAATACATTTTATAATTCTGTATTGAATACGCAAATTCATCGCCATAGATATGTACATATATGTATGTATATAAGACGAAGAAGAGCTGTGTATTGAGGATTAGTGAGGCATTATTAAATACAAATTGGATGTTTTAATAAACTTTTCTGCTCGCCTCTCGCGCATTCTGCCAGCATAAACATCACTAATTAATGTTGAAGTTATTTTTCCATGAGGATTATCGTCCTTTGTGTTTTGCATATAAATTTTCATGGTGGTTTCCTGCCTCCACCCACCAGGGAAACCGCACAAATTTGAATATAACCTCCTTTTTCCCCGAGTTACACTGGAAATTACAAATACACGCTCACCTTTAACCATCAGCGCCACTGTATTTTACAATAAAGTGTTCACATTTCGTTCCAACATTTAATATTTCTCAGACACACGCAAAAGTATCGATTTTCTGTTGAAACTTTAATTATGATTTAATTTAGCTGAAAGATATTTCATTTATCTTGTGCTCAACTCGCAATATCCTTCACCAATTCACTCCAGAGAGAATGATGCTTTCTTCCATATCCCGCTCTGTGTGTTTCCATCCCTTTATACCCACTACTCTTCTATACACCTTTTCCACGGCGCAACCCAAACAATTTTGCCATCTCATACCATCACATATTCCCACTCCAGAGTCTGCAGAAGCGCTCACGTAAAATCATAAATTAACCCATACCGAAAAGGTGAAACACTGCGAGTGGAGCGAACATAGCAGGATTTACCGGAAGAAAAGGAAGAACTTTACATGAGCTCCTTTAAATTTTAATCATTTTTGGTTTCATGCAATTTATATAACCAATGCATTCTGAATTCACGTTTCTATGGTGAACTCAATTCATCTTCCACAGATTGAAAAATATCCTCAATCTCATTTCACCTGCGGGCATCCAGAGAGTACAAGAATGGAAATTAACTTCGAATGAGACCCACTCCTTTTCACTCACTCTCCCATTCCACACTCGTTTTCCCGCCCTCAATTCCATAAAGCACATTAAATTGAAGAATATCATTTCAAATATCATGCATCCTAACTTTATGAACGCGCGGTATATTAAAGTAATTTCCTACTTTTTCTCAATTCCGGAAAACCATTCTAGCGAAGTGAATAATGGGATGTAAAAGGAAATTATCCAAATTAATGTAACTCCACCGAATATTCAACATGCTATATGCTTTTCCCAAAGGTTGCTGCTTGCTATCTGTGCCAGCAATTGGTCTGGATGTTGGGTTGTATTTCTAAAACAAATCTCACAAATATACACGATCAATACTGCAAAATATCACTGTGCAGATTGCTTGTTGTTTTCCTCGGCAAAATTTGAATAATTGCCAAGAAGAGTGAAGCAGCACGAGATAATCTGTATTGGTGTTGATTCGATTTTTACGACATCCTAAGCAATTTGTCGTATTTGGGTGATCCAATCTTGATAGCACAAAACACCCCTTGACTTATCCATTTTGCCTGACCTACTTTCATAGCTCATATTATCATCATATTTTATCTCACAAGTGGGGTTCTTTTTTCGACTCATCGCTAAATTTCTGTCCTAACATCGTCCATATTATTACTCCAATGTGAAACCCTTGT